TGTTTTTTTTAAAGCATAGGTTCACCCCGCCCGAGATTACAGTTGTTATCCCGAGTATTAAAAAAAACACAACATAATTTCATGTCAAGATGAGGAGCTCTTTTCAAAATGATAAAAGAATATGTCCAGCACAGGGAAGCTGCCTTCACAAAGAGGAACAGTTATCACATGTTGAAACACATCAACGGGCATATGACCAACAGGACGTTGACAAATACTACCTACTTGGAATGTGACCTGATGCAACCCACTTTTTTTTTTTTAGCAGCATTTACAATTTAGATGTGTTAAAGGTAGAACATTATTTATCTAGTCAGAAACTCCCAGTACATCAGTGTTTGAAATGTTTCATAGGTTGAATGTTTTATTCCCCACGGTCCACCTACTAGGGATGGGAATCGAGAACCGGTTCCAGTTGAGAACCGGTTCCATGTGGTTCGATCCATTGACATCATTTGCCTTTATGCTTAAAGATTCCCTTATCGATGCCTTCCGCTTAGTTCCGCGTGTCTTGCAAAATGCTTGCTTTTGCAAGAGGCAGTCAGCGTGAACAACAACGAAGGATTTGAGGAAGTGTGGCTTAATTTCAAAACAAACATGAAACATTTGTCGATGCAGAACGGCATTAAATGTCAGGAGTGTCATGTGTTCAACGATGGGAGCCGGCTCCCATCCCAGAGCTGTTTTTTTTTTTTTTTTTCACATGCAATCGCCATAGAAGAAGAGTTTTGCACTCATTGGCTAACGCTTTGTTTTTAATGCCTCATAGGTAGACCTTCGTATGTCGTCTCCACCTAGATCAACAGACTTGAACCCCAGCCTTGACCCTAACCATAGCCATTTACACGTGCTAGCCAGTCTTTGGTTAAGGCCACATCCAAACTAATACGTTTTTATTTTAGAAAGGAAAACAATCTCTGTCAGTACGAGTGTTTTAGCTCTGTATCAGAAATAGTCTCCATCCATACACTGAGTATGCGCGTGCTGGTATAAACAGGAAGCAGATTGTCTACGCAGTTGGTTGTTGTAGGAAATATAACAAGCAGGAAACAGCAAAGGCAGTTATAGCATGATAAAATGCAGAATTTAACTCCACAACAGCTGCTAGCAAAAACAGCAAGGTCAGCAACGCATGTATTTTGTTATCCATGTTGCGTTCACCACAGGTTGTCAGGGAGCGACTGTTACTGTCTGCGACATCCTTTCCAAAGGTCTCTGTTGCTGCCCGTCCAGACTACAACACAACCTGGTAGTTTTCAAACTAAAGTGCGGTCAGCAGCGTTTCCAAAAGTCTCCGTTTTAGGGCCTTAAAAAATCCGTAGTAGTGTAGACATCAGGAATAAACGAAGCAAAAGTGATGCGCTTTAAAACTAAAACGTATTAGTGTGGATGTAGCCTAAGGCAAGCAAGGCACAAGTTGCTAGTGCATCAAGTGTGTAATATCATCATTACACCTGTGACTTACCAACACATCCAACAAGACTTTGATCCAGGCTTAGAAACAACAAAAGAAGCAAAACCTTGTGACCAGAAAACAAGGGGGAACATCCTTCTTCAATAACTGTGTTGAAGTTTTTGGCTTGAAGCCCCCAGGAAACTCATTAAAAAAACATTTCCTGAAATTAAACTCCGTAGTGCAATATCTTTGTCCACACAGCCTTTGATTCTCCCAGTAAATGTTGCTGGTTTGTTCAGGGAAACAAGCACATTTGAGTTTATTTGTGAACATGCTCAACACAAACATGCTGCTGTACCAGAGGAAAATTTAGCTGAATAATACCTTTGCCATGGTGACACATCAATCCTCTTGAACCAGACCAACTCTCATTTCCATGGCAACACACATCATTCAAAATGAGTGCATTTGCAGGATGAGCTCTAATTCCTAAATGACCAAAAATTGCAAGAAACCAGCATTAAGGGGGGCAGAGGTCAGGGTCTTAAAGCCTCAGCAGTAACACTGTGATCATACTGAGTGAGAGGTGAAAATGAGTCATCATCATGTGTACCATTATTAATCATATTGAGGCAACTGCCTTTGGTTTATACATCTAAGATACCACGTTTAGTTATGTTAGCTGTTCCAAAGGAACTATTCTGTTTTTCCACTTTGTTTAGTCCCAGTCAGGTTTTATCCATATATATTTGACATACTGTATATCCACACTGAAAGAATTTTATTTTGTTTCTTTCACCAGTTATAATTAAAAATAAAGGTCTATTTTGAGATTGTGCATTTAATTTTCTCTTCAGCGCTGTCTGGTGACAAAAGGCCAGAGGAGAGAGAGGCAGGCACGGAGCCCTCCCCCTCCTTTTCTCGGTGAGGGAAGCGGGCAGAGAGCAGGGGTGTTGGAGAGGTGCGGGGGGTTGAATGGGACCAGCTAGTGACCTCAGGCAGAAAGAATGTCCCCGTTTGCTCAGTCGGCCCGCTCCCCTAGCAGCGCTCCACACAGTCATCAGCGCTGAGGCCTTTGTGTTCACCTTCCAGACCCCAAACTCCAGAGCAGAGGCCACAGACGAGCACACAGCAACACCTCGCAGCCCCTGCTGCTGCACTGTTCACTATAATCTCACTGCTCCTGCAAGTTTAGCCTTGCCAAAGTCCTGAGTTGCTTCACATGGAGTTCTTCCTCAGTCTTGCTTTTCTCTTTGCTCCACACTACCAAAATGCTAATTGCTGCTCAGTCTCAAAGTCTTAAAAGTCTCACCTATTGTGTGGACAGCATTCCTTGGCCGCTCCAGCCATTTATGTGGGTGTTAATGTATTGCCATCTCCCAGCATTGTGACACTGTGTTTGTGTGTGAAATACAGCGATTGCATAAATTTCAGTGTTAAAAAGAGAGGAGGGGGGGCCACGTCTTTCCCATGCTGGGACACCCATAAAATCAATGGTGGCTCGGGACGACAATTAAATCTGACTAATCCAGCAGATTTATGAGATCCGTGTGCTTCGTCTGCCAGCCGCGGGTGAAGTCATCGCGCTGCCAGAGAGACACCGCTGCTGTTAAATGAATTTGAATGGACGAGCTGTGAGGGATGCATGGCAGGGGGCTGCAGAAGCCAGCCCGCAGCAGAGTTTCCTTGTTAGACTGGATTCACACTTAGATTCTGATGAATGAAGGCTCACTCAGAGGAACTCAGCCTTCAGACTCTCCCCCTGAGTGGCAAGCCCAGCGTGCTGAACCAGGGCCCACTGTGGTGTGGCCATGTTTCACTGGATGCATTTGTATGATGTAGAACTCCAACTAATGGTTGTTTATTTAATTATACTTAATTATATTTCTTTAAATAAAAGAATAAAAATGACAAAATGACAAAATTGCTTCATCAGTCTAACCAGCAGCAAAGAAAGTCTTCATATAATAATGATGTGGAAAAATGAGTAAAGCCAATATTAGCAGCAAGAGTCTGGTCTTGATAAGTGACCAAAGCTTTTAGTGGATAACCACATTGATACATTTCAACATGCTAATTGTTTCAGCACTGCCTGTGTTCATGCATGTGTCAAAGTTGGGGACATCCTCCCTCCAGTCTGCTATTGTTGGTCTGTCTGTGAGCAGGGCACAATGGCCGAGTAGGGAAGAGGAGAGATTCTGGGGGGAGGTTTGGAAAGCAGCCTGCTGTATTGATTGTGTATGGGTTGTGAATGGATTCCTGTTGGGATCAATGGTCGAAGTAATTAAACTGGGGGCACAGGCAGAATGTTGCCCTACCTTCGGCCAGCCATCTGCTCTGTGGTAGCGTGCTGCATGTGGCTGTAAAGTACAGAGATTAAGGAAGAGGCATACACTGTGACGTATAGTAGAGTGTCAGATGTGAACAGAACTTGTGTGAAATTGTTATTCAGTGTGGTGTGTCTGACAGAATTGTATCTAAAATTCACTATTTTGACCATCACACTAAGATACAGGATTTTAGAAAACAACCAGCTCTGCTATTGTGTGCTTGTGCCTCTCTTCTTTGTCTGTTCTTTTTTTAGACAAAGAAGTCATATCATAACACATATTAGTAATAGAAGTAGACATCTTCTTTGAAAACAAATGTATTTTTGATTTATTAGACAGAACAGAGCTATATAGAAGTAAATCCGTTGAATGTGCCTTTAATATACTGCCTCCACTTTTGTGGGAAGACTTGGCGGCTGCAGGGTTTTGCTCACAGTTTGTCACAGGTGCATTTTAAATCCTGGTCACACCAGGAAGTGGTAGAGCCAAATCAATCTGTAGTTCTCTTGGTGCTGGTGATGTAGTGACTGTACCTGCACAGCTGCTTGGTGAACTGCAGTAGCCGGTGAGCTAACTGCTAACTCGCTAGCTCAGTCACAGTAGCTCCTCTCTCTGTTTTCTCTCTACTGTTACGATTACTCCTTTGGCATTTTGTTTGACATTGTCTACCATTGTGTTCAATAAAAAGAAGGAAAATAAAGCTATCAAGCTAGCGGTCACTTAGCAAACTTCTTTGCGTATAGCACTGTTGCTAATGTGACAGTAACTTTCCTGTCTCATAACTGTCATTTGAGTCATACTTCTTTTGTGGAACATTTCTTATTTCAACAGAGGAAGATGCAACATAGCTGATTAAGCTACGATAACTAACTCTCGCTTGCTAACAGTCAGCCTTGTGAAAGTTCACCAAAGTGGAACGCAATGTGACAATTTCACCCCGCCAGCGAATCCACTAATCGTGATGAATGTATTTGAATCAACTGGACTTCGTCACAAAATATATATAGAGGCTACAGTCCACGCTGCAGCTGGCCCCTGGTTCGACTCCCGCATCGGACGGCCCTTTCCTGCGTGTCATTCCCCCTCTCTCTGCCTCCCCGTTTCCTGTCTCTCTACTGTCCTAGACATTAAAGGCACAAAAAGCCCCAAAAAAAAACTTTACAAGGGTTGTCCATATACTTTTGGCCATATAGTGTATCTGCAGCAGCACATCAACTAAACTCTGGAATTCTATACTTGAGAATGTAGATTTAATTTGTTGTCTTTCTTTTCAGGGAGGAGGCTGCGAGGGAAAGCGTTCTACAACGTCAACGGGAAGGTTTATTGTGAGGAGGATTTCCTGGTAAGTCACCTGTGTATTTATGATGATTGATTTTGTTGTGTGATGAGCAGATTATTTGATAGCAACACAACATTGTCTCATGGTGGAGTGAATTAGGAGTGGGTGGAGCAGAGAACAAGGGATTAGGATCTCCAACTGCATTCTGCAACCCTCCAGAGGAAACAGACATCACAGCCACAATTAGGAGTTCAGTACCACCCCTCCAATTCACACTAATTTCCCCCAAATTTCCCCAAGGAGCTCAATTACCCCACGTGCTGCTCCCCAGCACTTGCAATTAAGAGTGGGAGGAGGCATGCAGGACAGCTGTAGCTCTCAGGTCCATCTGCTTCAGGTTAATGGGGCAGACATGGGGCCTGCTCTCATGGTGTCTTCACTTACTTACTTATGATGAACACAACAAGATGCTACTTGTGCAAATGTGCAAGTTTTGTGTACTATAGCTGTATGTGATGCTATTACTAATATGTGACAGAGGCTGATTCTGAACATGGAGGAAATATCTTACTAAAGCTTCCTGTAACATAACTGTTGAAAACAGCTTTGTAATCCAGACAACCTCATAACACACGACCCAATCTGCTGTCAGGACTTCCCATTTATAGGCAACTTCCCCTTAGAGTTTAACTGTTAGCAAAACAGGAATTTTAGTATTTCCTATTTGTAATCAGTGATGAACTGATGATGGAGGTTGGATGACAGGATGAGACTAATCTCCTTCCACCTACCTCTCATGGCTGAGACTTGAACAGTCTGGCCTGTCACCCCAGGGTGTTTCAGGGGTTGGGGAGGTGGTGGCAGATGGTAGATCCGGAGGAGAGATGTCAGGGGCAGGGGGCAGGCTGCCCATCACCACCTGCACCTGGTCTCCCTTCACCCCCCTCCCCAAAAGTCATCAGGTCATGACCCCAAGGGGGTTGTGAGCTGCAGATGGTCACCTTCATTATCTGCTTGCGGTCCTGGTTTAAGGGAAAGGAGCTGTTGACGGCTTTGTTTCCTGTCACACACAGAAGACTCTTCTGTGGAGTGGAGATACTCACTGTCCAAACATGGCAGATTGTGAATGTGAATGGATGCAACTGTATGATTGTAATGGCAGTGTAGAAAAACAACAGAAGCCACCTTCAAGACCATAAAGATGAAACTAGAGAACATCTTGTGATGGGATCACACCAGCCGCCATCAACATGTTGATGTTCCAAGTACTGATTATGACTACTCAGTGCTCATGGGTCAGACCGCACCCATCTTTGTACTCAGCCTTCCCATTTTGATTTCAACTACACACCTGTAGTTGAGATTGCTGGTTCTTGCACAGTTATGATGCTGTCACGGTGACAAAATCTGTCCACAGACAGACAGACAGTATAAACACCTGACAAAGTAGTCAAAATTACCTCTGTGATAGTTCCTGATACAGTAAGTGTCTCCATGACGACACACACACACACACACACACACACACACACACACACACACACACACACACACACACACACACACACACAGACTCACAGGTAAAAATCAGTAGCAGCCACGCTGTCGTAGCTGGTAAAAATGTATTAGGTTAGACACCACAGTTCATCACTGCCTGAACATGATCATGTCAGCTGAGAGACAAAGGAATCTGAAAGAAACCTTCTTATGTTAATTTGAAGAGCGCAACAGCGCCCTCCATAGATGTCTCTTAGACTGAACATGTCTAACATGTTCATCAAGTCTGGAGCACGTTGTGATCTACTGATTGTATGGCCAGCACAAACATTTCCAGTGTTAACAGCTGAGGATGATAATAATCCTGTATCTTGTCTCACCAACAGTACTCTGGTTTCCAGCAGACGGCTGAGAAGTGCTTCGTGTGTGGTCACCTCATCATGGAGATGGTAAGAGCTTTATCACATGAAAGGCAGAGAGTCCATGTGAGTTATGTGGGTGCATAGTAGTGTGTCTCGTTCTGTCCAACTGGACTGGCAAGACATGCTGCTAGATGCATGAATGAATAATATTATAAATTTCTGCATCTGCTTGATGCATTATTGTGTTTATCATGAGTGAAGCAGAGTTACCATGGTGTTGTGCAGACATAGCTTGCATTCCAACTTGGTATATTTAATTTTTGATCTTCATTTGCTCACAATCTTGGGCCTGATTGCTTACAGGGGCATCTGTAATAACAAAGCTCTTCCTGCCACATGACATTACACCACCCTCACTGAGTTTATGTTTTTAATCTGGACTTAAAGAAATCTGCCAGATGGCAGTCCATTGCATGATACGGCATGAACTCAGTGGCCTCATTCTAAGTCTTACTGTCATGCTGTGTGTTTTTTCTACGTGTGTGTGGGTGTCTAGATCCTCCAGGCGCTGGGCAAGTCCTACCATCCAGGCTGTTTCCGCTGTGTGGTGTGTAAAGAGGGTCTAGATGGAGTGCCTTTCACCGTGGATGTTGAGAATAACATTTACTGTGTCAAAGACTACCACACGTAAGGAGAACATCTCTCTGCACGCTGCACTGATAAAATGTGATTACTGCATGACAGAGCATGGCCTGGAATTTGAAAACAAGCTGTTTGAAAATTTGAAACATGGAAACAACACAGACATTAAACGTATGGTTCTCACTCTCCTTCTGTGGCTGTTATTTTTGTGTTTGTTAGAACTAGGATTTTGGTTTATGTGTGTAAATTGTGGAGTAAGAAGTCAGGTGATTTACATTATGCAGAGACGTGTGAATATTTCAATCTGTAAATTTTGTTGTCTCTTCCATAACAGGGTTTTTGCTCCCAAGTGCGCCTCCTGCAACCAGCCTATCCTTCCAGCCCAGGTCAGGAGCACATCTCAATGCATGCAACTTCCAATACATCGCACATACTGTTATCTCCAGGAAATATGATCTGCTAAAAATCCATCCTGGTTTGAACAAATGGACCATAGTGTATTGAACTGAACAACCAATCGACCAACTAAATACGCACAGATGAGTTTGTTTAAAAGCTTAAATGTTAAATATCAGATTTAATGAGTTAAAGTTTAGTTACCTTACAGGATGAGAACTTACAGGCTTGATTATAAAGATTTAAAGATAAACATCAGATGAGGTCTTTTTTTTAAAGTAAATATACAGTATTTTAAGATTTATAGTTTCATGTGAGACAAGGTATCAGGTATTAGATCATCTTGGTTTCTATTAATATAATATATATATAATATTAAGTACTAATATCTATTATTGTCACGCTCTATGAAAATAAACTCAACAGCAGTGAGGTTATAAGATAAAACTTACAAAGACAATAACTGAAATAAAACTTTAAAACTGAGCTGAAATGATCTGTCTGAAATCCTACATCAGTTATTATACAACAGTTAGTTCTGACCGAGTAATCTGATTGGACAAGAGGCATTCCATGAGCGCTGACATTGAGTACAACAGCACTCTTTTAACTACATGTCGGCGAATTGTTTGTGTTGGCGTTGCCAGACCTGCTGCTTATTGGACCATCACTAGAATGAGACACTAGACTGATGTAATGTGAAGGTCTGACAGTGTTTCGTTCCACCAGGGCTCAGAGGAAACCATCCGCGTTGTCTCCATGGACAAGGACTACCATGTGGAGTGTTACCACTGTGAGGTGAGCCGCTGCTCCTCCCACCTGCACGCTGTCCTCATACACACACACACACACACACACACACACACACACACACACATGATTCAACTTTTCAGGCCGTTATGAAATGAATGAGACAACACACACAAATATTTGCACAGACAAGTTACACTGTTGATACACACACAAACACACACACACACACACACACACACACACACACACACACACGCACACACACACACACACACACAGACATACACAAACACACAGGTGCACATCCACTTAGTCCTGTAAACCCAGTGAACCCAGGTAAGAGCTGCAATTCGTGGGATGAGACTAGACTTTGCACTGTCAAGTGTGAATCACCGCTGGAATGAATGAGACGCACACACAGAGAAAAAACACACAGACAGATACCAACCCAAGGTTACAGCACAACATCATGACTCACTGACAAAGCACATTCCAGCAGTGAGTCCTGAACTCAGCTGGGGACTTGTGAAATCCCAAGTCATCCTGTCAGATGGTTTTTTGTGTGACAGAAAGGTTTAATAAAGCAAATCAACACCCTGCAGTGATTCTGCATTTTTTTTTCTAAATTGTAAACACCGAATTTTGGAACAGAGGATTTCTACTGTCCTCATGAGCAGGGTAAGACCTGCTAATTTCTCTGAATGGCTAACAGTTCACTTCATAGAAATATTATTGTGTAAGCAGTGGATAATCATTCAGCCGAGCTCTGGAGGACAGAGGAAGGGTAAAGTCCAGAGCTCCATCATCCTGGTGATGGTAAATTCTTTACGTGTTTAAAAGAAAACACATTTTTCAGATACTGTAACACTGGAGGAGCCTCCACCATTGGTTTCTTATTCTTTTTTAAATAAATTATTTTAACATTATTCAGTGCTGAGCTGAGATTCACATGTGTAATGTGAAAATTCATTTCTAATAGTGAATTTTCCAGCCCGGTGTCTCATTCCTCTCAGACATGAACAGAATTTCTACGCAGGCTCAGAGTTCAATGTATTCATTCATAAATGCCTGGAATTTGTAGTGTTTCCATCCCTGTCAAGCCTGCACAGAAATTTAAAAGAAATAAAAAAAATAAATAAAAGAAAGATACACAAGTCACAAGTCAAGCTCAGGGCCTGACTGATGCACTAATGCAGCTTCATTCATATTTATTTCTTTACCTCTGGACGTCAGGACTCTCTCAGGATGATCCTGCACACCGTCTGTGATGGGAACATGTGAGTCACTTGTATCAGAGGGTCCAGTAAAACATCCACATGACTGAAGTCACAGTATTAATGCATACATCCATCCTGCACCTCATTGAACCCTGATTGCCCTTTCATTCGGGGCAACAACTCACTCTCACAAATTTAAGTTTACTTGTAATCATTCACTGTCTGTGACAACAGTGAATGTGGTAATTCAGCAGATGTAGGCTTCACTGTTTTGCTTTCTGACAGAGAGTTAGATGAGAAGATCCATAACAATGTCATGCCTACACATTAAATTTGAAGCTTCAGCAAGCAGCAGGTTAGCTTAGCTTAACTTAGCTTAGCTTAGCAAAGCACAGGGACTGGAAACAGGGAGAAACTGTTATCTTGGCTCTGTCCAAAGATACAGTCTTTGTGCTAGGCTAACAGGTTGCTGTCTGTAGTGTACCTTCTTCTCATCTTACACTGTGAAAAATTCTATTGCCCAAAATTTCAAACTATTCCTTATAAAGAGATGTTATAACAAAGCCACACACATGTGCGTTTGGTTGTTGATTGTGTTTGTGGTGTGTTCACGTTTCTGTTTTTATGTCCCTCTTTCAGGACTGTGGTCTCAAGCTAAACGACGAGGAGGGGCACCGCTGTTATCCACTGGAAGGCCACCTGCTCTGCCACAGCTGCCACATCCATCGGCTCCAGTCACAGGTCCCTGCCCACCCGCCCCCCAGCTATCCCCTCCATGTCACTGAGCTGTGAGGCGGAGGAGGGTGGGCAGCAACCAAGCCCTGCCTCCCAGGTGATCTGAGACACCAGCAGTGGGCAAAAAAAGGCCTACACCCCCTCCAGCAGTTCCAGAGAAGCCTCTGTGTGGCCATCTGAGCTTCTGCCCCAGTCCTCAGCTGGACAGCCAGGCCGTGGACTAACACACACAGTGCAGCTCCCACCACAAGCCCTGCTGTCATATGACAGGGCTGGGAAAAAGGGTCCCCCTCCTCCTCCATCTGTGGTCCTTTCCTCCCCCCTTCCCCTTGGGTGCCTAACCCTGAAAGCCAACACGCCAGCTCGTCCAGAGGCCCCCGGTGACGTCACACCTCCTGACCCCTGCACATTCATCAAAGAGAGGGTTTTTGAATCGGAAGAGAGAACGCAAACTCTCATCTCTCTCCTTGCCTCCCTCTCTTGCTTTCCATGTTTTTCATTCCTGTGCTCTGACTGAAGCGGTTTACCGCAGTGGATTCACCAGTGCTGTCACGTCTGAGAACGCTGCTGATCTCGGCGTCAGGAAGGCCAGGGAACGAGCCACTACATTCCAGTGCTGGCTGGACCGGACAGGCCCCAGGGTGGGCATGCTGTGCCTTCAGAGCAGGCCCTCTCTGTGCAGCTATTAACACTGAAATGGAGCCCTGCTAAAGGCTATGCAAAGGACACCCAGCATCACGACACAGGGCTATGAGAAAAAAAAACAAAAACTGTTGACTCATCGCTCCTCACCCTGCACCACCCCAACATAACAGATGCACCGTAGCACCACAAGCCCAGAGGACCGACTGACATTCCACTTAGAAATCTTAGATGAGACCTCGAGAGATTCACAAGCAGTGTCTTAATTAATGATTATATTATGACAGAAAAAGAAAATTTTAGATGCACATAGATTGTCTTTTATATATGAATATATATTTTGCAGATGTTTTCCACATAAGATCCTAGATGTAGATTCTCATTTTTTATTTTTTTTTCTCTTGTTGCTGCGCTCGGGATAGATTCAGAGGTGAAACACACTGTCTGTCTGTTACGCAGTCTGAAGCCTCTGAAGACTTTGGGTCTGTTGTATCATTTCTTCTCCAGGACACAGAGCCTCTTCATGTCTGTCAGTGAGTCAGAGATCCACAGGCTATGTAAGGAGCAGACTTGGCTCAAATAGTATTTGCCTGCAGTTGTTTTATTCCACTTTGAGTACCAAATGACTAGTTCCCAAATCTGACAACAAATGAGCTTGTTTTAAACAGCATAACCCCTCCCTCTGTTGACAGTAGACAGTTATAACACACACTGCCAAACATTTCTGCACGCTTTAAATTTTATTGTCTTATGTTTAATTTTAAGCACTGTACCAATTGTAAATGCCCTAAAATTGAAAGTATAAGTGAGAAACAAAGTATAAGTTAATTGAAATATGTTTTCACTATTTAATTGGAAATGGCAAAGATCTTGATTGCTCTATATATTTATTATATATTTGTTCAAAAAAGCAAATTTTGACCTTCTGTTGAGGGTGTGATCACTGTGCCAAACTATTGCGCAGAGCTGTAAGATTAATCTGAAAATTTGGGGCTTTTGGTGGAACACTAAAAGCCTCTCAGCAGTCGTCATAGAAAGCAGAGAAAGTGCAAACTGTTATTACTCTGAGAATGAAAGCTATAAAAAAAGCACTGGTTGGAAACACTTTGGCTGACCATTTAAAATGTTTTGTTAAAAAAATACAGAAGGATAAAACAAATAGACCATTGTACACCATGTTGTGTGCTGCTATTTACAGATTTATGTCGTTTCAATAAAAAAATAGTCAATATACGTGTGTCAATAACCTAATCTATATTTATACTGAAACAGACCAGCAGTGTGTATTGATCTGTAGGTCGACACATGAAATCTTCGTAAAAGATTTCTTCTGTCCTGCCAGAATGAAGTAGCTACATTCCTTCTAAAGAGATAAATGTGGAAAGTCTCAGGTGACTTAGAAAGTAATTTTCTGTCAGTAACACTTCTCACTCCACTGTCTGACGGTGGCATCTCATCATCTGGTACACAAAGGGGAATGAAACATTGCGTGATGATTTTCAAATACCTTTTGGTCCAGGTCTACTCAGGACACTGTTTCCTGGTATGTTTTCCAGACACTGGTTTTTGAGCACTGAGAACACAGTGCGTTCCTACGAGGAACCTCCACTTGTCCGCATGCCTTAAGACAGAACAGGTAGTTTGCGTGACTCGCTCAGAGGCCTGTACCACGAGGCAAGTTCAACTTAGTCTGGCTCTCTTCAGGGTTATCTGGCTTCGCTGAGCCTAACATCGGCCGTCCTGGATAACCTGTATCACAAAGTTGGTCATCAACTGGCTGTTAACTCTGCGTTCACCTGGCCATGAAAGTGGTCATGTGGAAGAGGCGGAGGAGTCAATTACAAGTGATTGTAATTGGGTTTAGTTTTTATTTCCAGTTATCATCACATCATCAAGTCTTTTCATGCTTTTCTGATTCTAGTCTTGAAAGAATCTTTGTACAGTTAAAATGCAGATTTCTTTATTTTTGGTCACTTTATTGTGAACTCTTTTTGTCCATGTCAGGATCCTGTAGGAATCATGACCTTGCTTTTTTTCCAGTGATGTGATTGGTCAGTGGTTTTAATCTTATCCTATGAAGTTAACCTGCTCCGGAGCAGGTTAGCTGTGCAGCATATGTTACCATGGTGATCTACCCTGGTTAAAGATGAGCCAGCTTTGTGATACTAAAAAACCTGAGTTAAGCCCAAAGATAGCTGGATAACCCACTAATCTCGCTTTGTGGTACAGGCCCCTGGTCTGCCATGAAGTCTGCTGTTGTGTTTTGGGGGGACGTCCCTGAAAACCTGGAGCTGCTGGTCCCACCCATGTTTTTAGGGAGTCGCCCCCACCATGTTTCCCTTGCTGGTTGTGTGCGTCCATGAACGTGTGCGTGTCTGTGTGTCTGTGTGCAGGCAGGCGCTTGCATGGATGTGTTAGATTGAGTATTGTGTGTATGTGTATATATGCAAAATAAAATCTACACGAGACAAAAAAAACTAAACTTAAAACTCTGAGCTGTGGTGGTGCTGGAAGAGCAGTCTCACCCCTCTCCACTGGGTTTCTTTTTATTAATGCGTTTTATAGGATTGGCCTTCGATAGATCATTCCCTCTACATGAAAGGTTGTGAGCCAGAATTCAAGATATTTGAGGGAACTTCTGTTTCATTCCTGCACCAGGCAAAAATCTGAGCTGCTGCACATTTATCAGATAAACCCTAACGATGTGTGCTTATTTCAAATATGAGCAAATGTGTTAAGTACGTACATGTGTGTGTGTGTGTGTGTGTGTGTGTGTGTGTTTGTGTGTGTGTGTGTGTGTGTGTGTGTGTGTGTGTGTGTGTGTACTAGTGGCAGGGCCATGGCACATGCACCTCACTGTGTTTGCAGGGCAGCACAGCATCCAACACAGTGACCCCTGCTCTCTCTGTTATAACCCAGTGATGATTTCGATGTTGCTCTCTGTCCATCATCCACTTTGTTCCAGAGGTTTGTGTCTAATTCTTGGTATATGTTTTATCTTCTATCTAGTACCACATTGATGGGGTTTACACATGTTGCAGCAAATGTTCCTGTAGCTGATAAATGTATCATCCTCTGACTGTAGCAAACTCCACCCATCTGGTATTCAATCCTGAATAAAACAGCCACCAACTATTACTTGCAAACACTGGCCCAGCTCTTACTCATACTGTAATACTGTAATAGACACAGGTCTGAATAAATACTACTGAATGTGTCAAAGACAGAGACTGAAGCAGAGACTGAAGGCAGGGGTCACCACAGACAGAAAGTGCTTTTTAATGTAACCTGATGTAATGAGATTCATTCGAATGTAATAATGAGTAGTGTTTGTTTTCCTCCCGGTTGTATATTTGTAAAAGCAGAAAAGAAAAGGACTGCATACTGTATGTGTGACATTACCTTTGTCGTTGGATGTGTTTGACCTCAACTTTGTACGAGGGTTCTGGTCAAATAATGTGTGCTATACTTGAAGAATGAGGCATTTTCTGGACTTACCTGCACAATATCACCCCCCCCCCCTCCCCCCCCCCAAGAAAAACTTAACAAGACCAGAGTGTATCCCCCTTAAAGATGTCTTAATTCACCTGTTTTAAAAGTACTACTTCAGTTTCTATTGATAGCACACAGCTAGTTACCCTGTACATAAAGAGGCTAGTTTTTTATTTTATTTTTCTGTCAAAAATCACGTGGAAAGAGAGGACTTTTTCTCCTACTGGTAGTTCCAATAAGCACATCTCGACACCTGTCACACATCTTTTGTATCTCTGTTGTATTTTGATTGCCTAGATGGTTCATAAAAAAAGGAAACTAGATCTATTTATCTAAACATGAAAAAAGTCTAAAGTTATTTAATGTATTAAAAATCGGGACGTATCATTTAACTGTAGATGACATAATCTGCTTTTTCAATAAAGTGGTTTTGTAGCTAACTGCAAAATAATGTCTGTTTTTTCCTCTTTTATTTTGCTATTTTTCTGGGGGCGGGGGGGATCGAAATAAACTATGTTTGGACAATCTTTGAGAACATGTCACAACTGCACAGTACTTACACTTGCATGTGCACAGTTTTGACCAGAAATATACTGAATGTGGCTCCTCCACGTGTGTTGTAAGCGGACATTGCTTAACAGAGGCAATCTAACTGTTTCCCCTTGCCTCCTGTGTATATGCTAAGCTAAGCTAAGCATTTAGTGTAGCCATTTAGCATGCAGACATGACAGTGGTTTCATCAACTCTTAAGAAAATTAATAAATGAAAAATAAATGAAAACTCATGCAGAAGTCAGTATTTGACCTGATGTAGAACAAGAATGACGTTTGAGAACAGTCATTTTATTTATGCAAGGCAGAACGGTGATTGTGATCACACTTCACTGCATAAGTTCATTTTTTCTTTTCCGCAAAGGTGACACC